AAAAAAAAAAAAAAAAAAAAAAAAAAAAAAAAAAAAAAAAAAAAAAAATAAAAAAAAAAAAAAAAAAAAAAAAAAAAAAAAAAAAAAAAAAAAAAAAAAAAAAAAACAAAAAAAAAAAAAAAAAAAAAAAAAAAAAAAAAAAAAAAAAAAAAAAAAAAAAAAAAAAAAAAAAAAAAAACACTGAAATTCCAAGATGGCGTCCGAAAAGTATTTGAGCTATAGTGCCAAGTCCTACGAGCTCTTATAATACTCCCCTATATTCCCTACGGAACCCCCACTAAGGAGTTTAGACTATACCTCATTTCAGGACCTCTACGAGCACCACGGCATGACAGTTGCTGCTCCCCCGCAGGCGCCATCCAGAGTCTCTCAGAAAGGGGTGGCAAACTACGCAATCCTAGATACCTCGCGAAATGCTAGATCGAACCCTAAGCCCCGTCCCTAGTCGTGTCCACCTTCGGACTGAGGCTCCATAGGGTCCATGTTAGGCTTCATTATGGGCTACAATCAGTATTGTAAAATTGTAGACTCACGCCTGACCTGGGCTTGAGGTGGTAAGGGAAAATAGGCTTTGGCATTAGCATGCAGTCCCACAATGCAGAGCCTTTGCTTCCAGAAAGCTGTCAAGGGGTGCTTTGCTTTTCGCTTATGTCGGAGTTTAGTGCCACAGGCAGGAATCACGAAAAAGGTATCCTTTAAGCACGTTGAAGCCCCTTCCTGTATCACCCTGACAGCTTTCATAAACCAAGGGGTAGATCCCTGAAAACCCTCAATCCCAACCTGGTAGGCGTCGCACGGACATGACACGCGCTTTGCACAGGCTCCTCGACGCTCGCGTTACGCTGGTCGCGCCAGCAAGTAAGCCCTCCAAGATAGGGGCAAGGCGATCGTGCCCGAAATGCCGGTAGCGGCAGTTGTTTAATCAGTGAAACGGCACATCTCTATCTGACTCTATCTACTGTTGAATTCCAGAAAATTCTAAAGTTGCGCCACTCATCTTGGAAACCGGTATTGTGAACATCCAAGACTTAACTAAGAAGTCTTGCAGCAGCCGTCGAGGTAGTGCTAGGTGATGCTGTAGGCCAAGCTTGGTTTGTGGCTGGGCGTTGATACGCCAGTCCAAGCCAAAGAAAGCTGGGATTCTGCGCTGAAAAGACCGCTGCTGCCAAGACTCGGCTGGGACGCGGTTTAGGGTTTAGGGTTAGTGTAAGCACAAGAATCTGGCTTTAGATCTTCACATACGCGCGGAGATTATTCTTTATGAGCCAGTCGCCAATGTAAAGTGTGACTGTATCCGGTTTTTGTGCATAGCCTATCACAAGAAGAAAGCCTTTTACTTCGTCCAATCTACCAAAAAAGCACGACTCACCTGGCGCAAGCTACGTTGCAGGTTTCTGCTATCAATGGATCCAGGAACCATAGGGTTTAGGGTCTAGGGTTTGACAAGAGTGTTGCTCACGTGCAAATCTAGCTGGAGTTTAAACTGCAGCTTGAGACTCCACCTTTTGGGCCGCAAGCGGTCGTATCAAGAAGTGCCAGGAATGTTTGGTCATTGTTGAATGCAGCATTTTCTGCAAAAGACTATGTTAGAACCCAATAGGCGGCATAAAGTTTCAATTTAAACGTTACCTATGGAGAAACCATATTCAGGGATGAGTAGCCTTGGTCGGGTTTAGGGTTGGAAGAGTCCTGTTGTGTCTCCAATTTCCTGTAAAAGGCCCTTCGTACCCGTACTGGATCTTCTTGAGGGGCCATATCCTACATTCGTATTAGGGCATGTTAAGGAAAAGGTAGGACATCCAGGATGCATGTAACCTAGATTGCGATAGCCTTCTTTCCACTGTTAAACTTTAAGGCCTTGGCTTTCGGCACGGTTGATACCTGCGACTAATGCCAATAAGTAATGGTAACCGTAAAACTAGTAAAATCATAGTACTAGTAATAACAGTGATTATACTGGTGTCGGGTTGGGTTTAGAGGGTTGATTGATGGACAGAAGTCTTGCATGACCTGATGCACCTAAACCCTGGGAGCTTCCGTAGCATATGATAGGTTCTGTTTATCAGCAGCATGATTCGGAAGGCTGAAATCACCAGCCTCATGCCTTCGATGGAAGCCCAAGACAGCTCCTGGAGACTGAAGAACAAATCAAACATTCATGGAAATAGCCCAGACCTTTACTAGAATTGCTCAGGCACCGTGCAATTGACCCCGACAAGTGTTGAATCAGCCTTTAGTCCCCGGAACGCAACACATTCAGGAACTCTTCATGTTGCCAACTTTCTTGACATCTGTGCAAAAAATGAGTCTGGGTGCGCCTGTAAAAGACCTGGCAGAAGATGTTAGCCTCTAACATTTGAGGTCCGGAGTCCACGAGACCTGTGCCTGGGCCAGAGGTTGGCGCGTAGGATGGTTTGGGCTCAATGGCCTTTGTGACGTTTGGGGTAGCGCGCGTGATAGTAAACCATTTCCTCCAGCAGCACAACAATTCTTAGGCCTTTGTAGTAGAACGCATCTTGTTTGATCTAGGGATTCAGAAGGACCTCCACATCATGGTGGCCACTTGGCATCCCCATCCCGGAGTCTCCTCAGGACTTATGTTGGACATGTTTGTATGCAGGCAAGTGAGGCTGACGAGGTCTAACGAAAACCCTTGAACGTTGGAGATTGGCAGAGCATCGATCAACTGCTTCTCATTCCCCGGTATTTGGGATTTGGGTAATAGTAATTATAGTACAGGTTTTGGGTAATAACCCCTATAATCCCTGTAGTTTCCATTTTATTTTCCACTATCCCTATTGAACCCCAATATATACCCTATAATCCCTAAAGATTATTGGGTACTTGGACCCTTAGGGTTAGGAGCTTACGCCTCCCTCCTTGCAAGAGTTGTTTCACGACTCATTTCACAGGCAAAGCCGGCCTTTAGGTGGTTTTCCTCACCGCAAGACCCAATGCCTCATGCAAACCCTAAGGGTCCAAGGACCCAAATGATAGGGTTTCAGGGCCCAATTACCAGTAATATTATAGTATTTGGGCCCTAAAACCCTACTATTTGGGTCCTTGGACCCTTAGGGAAAGGATGCCCGGCAGGTGCCCGAGATCCACGGAGGGTCACTCCTTACGTTCGGCAAGCATCGTGGGCACCTCCGACATGTTTCAGAATTCAGAAAGCTTCAAAACACCTCTTTTCTGTTAACGTTGATGTTATGCCCCATGGCACTGGGTCCAATCGCGAACAGCATTTTATGCCCAGCACAAAAACTAGGAAGGCAGAGACTGGCTCGCGCGAGCTGTCAATCTGGGACTTGGGACTGGAGCAGCCATAATGTGGGGCTAATGTGGGGTCATGGGGGGTCAAGATAAGGTTAATATAGGGATAATGGAAAAGAAAATGGAAACTACAATTTAGGGTATGCCAAAACTTAATAGGTCATTTCTCCGATTATGTCGTCTATAACGTACCAACCGATGTACAGCACCTATAGTACTTGCCTGGGGATTACAAATGGGAAGCTACCTTGATAGCCCGGCCAGAAGATGCACAATTTCCTCTACACGCCACGCAGTCACATCTAAACAGGCGCACTTACGAAGATGTTCGGCTGAATGAAGCGGCCTACTGCGTGCCCAGCCTCAGTTGCGGCTGCAGCTATGAGCTTTAGGTTTGTCGTTTGTATTAAGCCGCTAGCTTTGGCCACATATATAGGATTGTGCGGCAGTCTCTTCCAGTGGACCCACACGCAGAAACGCCCTAAAAATCCTGAAAAGTTTGAAGAAGTCTCAGATTTTTTCTCAGCTGCACTAAACACTCCTGAGTGACACATCCGCTTCATAGGATCCTGGGGTTAAAAGACTTGTTATAGCACCTCATGGTAAGCATTCGTACCCAGACCTACAGACCTAAAGGATCCAACAAACGGCACACCCCCTAAGACAAATGACCCCATTCCTACATTGGGGAACCCAGGGGATTATTTGGAGGTTTCCTGTTTTGGATCCTTTGGGGGGGGGTCTTCGTCACAAAATGGCCTTCAAAGTACAGCGCTGAGAAACAGAGGCGTGGGCGCTTTCACAGCCGCAACCTTCCGGGGCAAGGTCCTCAGCTTCAGGCTTCAGGCTAGGGTTCAGGGTTTAGGGTTAGGTGGACCCCCCCACCCAGTAATAGTGACTATAAGGGATAATAGGGGATGTATTAGGGACCTCTTATATTCTTATTATAGAACTATTACAGGGTGGGGGGTCCTACTAAGTTTAGAGTTTAGAGGCTCAAAAGTCAAGGTGTGCTTTTTCTGTTGCTCCCGAAGTCTCATGGCAATCCGTATCTGACAGAATGACAAGAGTACGTGGGAGTTTCCTATGTTGGAAGAGCTGTCATTACCACACGTGCCAGACTGTGCCAAGACTCCCGCTATCCCTGCTCCTCACGAGTTTCACGCTATATCCTACTACCTGCGAAGCCCGAAGCCGCATTGTGGATCCCCTGCTTGTACCCCAAGCGTTCTGAGGGCTTGAGCGACTTTGTTCGCTTCCTGAAGGAATTTGAATTGCAGAGGCCTGCTGCCTAGGTACCTTTTTGGGGGTCCCAATAATAAGGACTATAGTACATTGGGGTCTATATTGCGGTCCCCTTATTTTGGGAAACTACCATAAGAAGGAGTATTGTGATGTTGGGCCAGCAGGTTTGCAGAGGTGAGGCCTGCAGGGATTTGGGGCTTAAGGGGTATGGTCAGGGGGTTCGTGTTTGCTGCCTTTAACAAGAGAGGTTTGGTACCCCCCCAACCCCAGAAAAGAAGGATCCTGCGGCTATCATATGATCTGGCCATACCCCTCACTCTTCTTACAGACAGCTTGCAGAGATCCTGTGCCCTGAAGCCTGTTTGGCTTTCTGAAAAGGCGCGTGTGGTAGCAGAGATCACCTTCCACTCAAGCATAGAGCTCATAAGAGCGGTGCTAAACACAAGAATAGGAAAATCAATCAAAGCTGTCTGGCTTCGTTGCATGTACCAGCCGAAAGGGGGCAGCTAGAAGTCAACCGCCTTCAAAGCCCCTATGCAACACCCTTGTGATATCTCAAGATTAGAGCGCTATTTTGGTACCCCAGTATACTGGGTGCCGTAATGCAATCTATAGCCAAAAGGGGCCCATAACTTTGAGAACAGCACTCGTTGTGAAGGCTTCCAGCCACGCCGCAGAAGAAGAAACGCGCCTTGGTCTGACTCCTTTCTTAGCGGTCCAGGGTTTAGGGTTTAGGGTTCCAACATAGGCTTAGTGGTTAGGGGGAATAAAGGGAATAGAATCTCTATGTAATATAATATGATGTACCATATTCGCTACTCACCACCAGTAAGTAGGGGCCCCAGCAGTTAGAATAGGAGTTGGGTGCACATTATACGATACTCATAGAGGGACTATAAGAGAATTGTTGTTGGTAATTGTTCAGGTGTCCACATGACCAGTGTATGCCGATTTAGGGATGCGGCGGGGTCTTGATGGAGATGCAACATATAAACTGACTCAAGAGCATTTCTATCCTGAAGGAAACTCGAGTCTTACATAACCTCGTAAAGTTCAGGAAGCACCGACGCTGAAAACAACAGGTGGGTGCAACACACACATTGTGTCTTCTGGTCAAGTTCAGCTGCAGCTTTTTCATTTTCTGTGAAGTTCGGAATTGCGCAACGAATAACATGTATGCAATGCGTTGGGATCATCATTGTTACAAGGCTGTCTGAAGTACAGCATGACGTCAGGCGACCGGAGGGCTGCAGAGATTCTGGACTTGAACGCAACCCCGTGTCCGACAACTCCTAGTGCCATGGCATAGGAAGTGACTTTAGCAGGGCATCTGCCCCCAACCAATTTCCGAACTCGGCAAGAGACTCACATGTTTTTTTTCTAAATGCGTGCCGTACTTGTTTGATGCAAATGCTCGTGGAGCATGAAGATCTTGAAACGCTTAGCAAGCATGCAGGAAGCACACTGGAGTATGATCTGCTCCGGCTACACTCAGCTCAGAAGTTATTCTGTCAACATGCTGTGTAGAAATTCTGAGCGTATACTACGCGAGCTTATCTGGGATGTGGGGTTTTCTCAACATGATCTCTATACAATCCATATAAGGACCCTCACCCCGGCACCCCTGGAGTTTGTTGGGGCCCCGTGTTGTGAGAAACTCCTCTATCACCCCCTCTTCCCAAGAGCTCTCAGCCTTGAGGCGCTGCCAGGACGAGCCCGTGGCGCACACCAGGTCTCGCCCCAGAGGCAGCGACGCCCCAACTTTGGCCTCACGAGCCAGCTCCGCCAGCTCCGGCTGTGGCAGTGAACTTGGCTGCTGGCAGCTGCAGATCGAGTTGCCCACAGCCTCCGAATTTGCAACAACGCGGTGTGCATGAGGGCTTCCCCACAAATCCAGTGTGGACAGGCCAGTCACACCCCCAGCCCTTTCAGGAGGGCATGCGCGCAGCACCTCAAGGGACAGCTTGGTCCCAGCATCAGTGGCCAGGCTTGGGGCAGTGGTCGGATCAGCCTCGCATATGGCCTCCACCTGCACGTGCAGGCGCCTCTGTGGGTTCACAGGGCCAACTCCATGGCGGCTTTGATCCCTTCCTGGCCCACAGCGGCCCGAGTATGCCACGACCGGCTGAGGCGCACCCGGTCACAGCCGACCCCCGGCCAGCCTTTCTGTTCGAGCAGTTTGGCGGCCCACCGACACATCCCTGCCACCAGCAAACCAATGCTTGGGCACCCTTGCCGCAGCCTTGTCAGCAAGGTTTCAACCAAGCAGGTCAGCTCATGCATGTCCCGCAGGCGCAGGCAGAACCCGGGTGCGCACCAAGTCCCCCGGCAACCGACCCGCCTCGACACACAGGCCTTCCCCTCTTACCGCCTACAGGGACGGGCCCTCCCCTGGCCTCTGGTGACTTCGTCAGCAGGAAACGGCCATGGGACGAGATCAACCTTCCGAGGCCAACTATCAAGAGGAATGCAACACTGCAGATGTAACTCGCGAATAGGAGCTACTAGGTAACAATGTCCAGCGGTTTGCAGCTGCTTGCGGCATGAAGACTCCTATTATGACTAGGTTTGGGGATCCTTTCCCTTCTGGGAATTCCGTTGATTCACGGGCGCGTGCTTAGGAAGTCAATGAAGGTGAAGCGTTTGGGACTGGTCTGCACAATCATCGGGGACATTGAGTGAAAGGCTCAGCTATGGCTACTCTGCTTATACACTGCTTTATAACCTGTAGATACGGAAGCTTCGGCGGCAGCGCAGCAGCAGTCAACAAATTTGTTTTGGGCACATGTGCTAGATGATTTGCCCTCGGCACGAGCTGTGCTGACAGGCAGAACGCTCTCCAAGTGACGCAAGTCACGTAAATCTTGTTCTTGGCATGATTTTCAGCCTTCATTTGTACACAAAAGGAAGCACACATGGCACAAGTCTCAGCAGCAAGGATAGGCCCGGGTCGTGCCTTCATGGAGTAGTTACTTCAATGTTATTTCAAAGTTGCCGCTTTGAGCACATTGATTGATTTTTGCTCTTGGCTGCACTTTTGCAGACATCCCTGTAGCATTCCAACAAAGCCTTGCCTGATGCCCCGGAAGCCAGTATACCTAGACCCTCCTTCTACCCTCTATATACCCTAAATAGGGACCATATACCTATATATTTAAAGGGTACAAGGAGGGTCCTGGTAATCATTTTGATCCCTCAAACGTGCTGGCATGTGCTTTTTCCGGCAGCAGGCAGTCCTCCGGTACAAAGTCGGCTGGAGGCAAGCTTCATTGTTGTCTCCCATACAGTCGCCTATTGTAACAGCGACAAAGTTGACGATGTCGCAATGTAATGGGATGATTGAAAACCCCATTGCCTAGGTGTTGCCTTTCGCTAGAGGAGACTAAGGGACAATCAAAAGTGTCGCAGGATTTGTGCTTCAGGCTCTGAAGAGTATCCTGGAAGCACTTTCTACGTCAGAGTTTGTGGTTCCTATCAATGCCGTTCCAACCCCAACAAGTCCCCACATGACTCAGATAAGATCCTTTTGAGGTGCCCACTACACTTCTCGTAGGAAAAGGGATTGCGGAAGACTGGCAGGAGGCCACAAGAAGGCACCCGATCGCTTTGACGACATCCGGAAATGGGTTGCGTTCTCAGGAGATCATGGTTGGACAGAGCCAGTGCCACAACGAGTCTCGCTGTGCTGCTGCCACGGCTGCTGCTGCAACTGGCAACTGCTGCTGCTACTTGTATCTCTGCTTCAGGTTCAACTGAGATGATTGCTATACCGATTACGACAACTACCAATTATTTACTTACCGGCAGTACCATTAGGAGCACCACTAGCCGCCACAACCCCCCGCTGCAGCTAGCGGCAGCAAAAGTAGCAGCGCTTTTTGTACCTCCACTGGAGGTGGTGGCTGTCCTAAAGCTGCTGTTGAACCTTTCCGTCGCGAGTCATATGCAATCCACAGAGCTGTTCCCCTGGTACTTGAAGGACAGCACAGCTGCAAGATTCATGGCCCCCACTGCAAGAGTTGTTGAGCACCAGCTACGTGAAGCAGCACACAAAACCTAGACCCGTGACCATGTAGTTTGAGAAGTTTCCGCTCCTCGAAGCAAAAAGGTCTTGGAAGTATGAAATACAGCGACTACAGTTGCCTGATGTGCCATCAGGAGCTGTAGTCCCGTTTTGGGGTGCGTTCGTGATCATGGTGGTTTAAGGGCGACGCACGTGCGAGATGCAGCCATTTGCAAAGCTTCCGCAAACCTGTGTTGCTGCCAAGATCATCAAGAAGTCCTTTGACTAGTTGGCCGGGGCCTCAAAGTCGCAGAACAGATTCTCCCTGGTGCTTCGAGACGCGTTAGCATTCTTGCAGAGCAATCCCAATCCGGAGCATGCTACCATCAGTCGGCGTATTTCTCAGTGCTTTTCGATACTGATTCTTGCCAAACAATGTTGTACAACACTCACTTGTGCTCAAGGCCTGAGAGTTCTATTCTTTGCTTGGAGTTGGCCTTTGCAAGCCCCTTGAACTCTTTTAAAATGAGCCTCTTCCCGCAAGCCCCAAACCTAACTAATTCGACCTGAAGCTGCCAAAGCTAGATGTTTTCCCAAAAGGGTTTTTTTGGGGGGTCCCAATAACGAGCACTATATAGTGTTTTGGGGCCCACACTGGTTTCAATCCTATTGCACATGCTCGTGAGGTTGATTCCAGACCTTAGCCGGGCGACGCCAAGGAGAATCAAAACAGTCCGCTCCAACGTGGGTGTTTGGCTACAGTTCGCATCTGGACTCGGGTGGCTGACAGTATTTCTGGGGTTTGTAAACAGCATTCCCGCTTTTTGGGTATTCCCTCTGAAGCTCCGAATTTCTCAGACCTACTGAGATCGTGGGGCTTTTTTGAATCATAGGCTATGGTGGTGCACTCCTCAAAAGACGAGCGTCCTTTGGGAAACCCTTGCACTGTACGGTTCTCTGTATGTATCCAGCCTGCCTGGCCAAGGATCTTTCATTGTTCAGGCCATCACTCAAAACGCTAGGGATGTATTAGGTGAACAAGCCACCCTGCAATAGTGATCATAAGGGATAATAAGGAGTATATTAGGTATTCCTATTTTACCACTATTACAGGGTGGGGGTCCTCCTAAGACATGTAAGGCGTAGGGCAGGGCCTAGAGCTTGGGCAAGAGGAGTTTCAGGTGTAGGGCTTTTGACCTACCAGACACATGGGATCCGTCGTCCTCACAGAGATTCGTTTTTTTTTGGAGGGGGGGACGCTATTCGCTCAGTACCTGGTGGTGTAGGGCTTGAATTGAGATTGTCGCTTACTGTGACCCCAAAACATCCCTGAACTCATCGTATTTTGAAAGTCGTTGTCCGCTTTTCCTTACCTAATGTGCCCTGGAAGCTGGCATCTCTGCTGGATATTTAGGGTTCATAAGCTAGGGACGCCTTAGATACCTCTGAACTCAAAGCACTGACAACCCGAAACCCTTTCAAGCCCAAAGCATCCCACAGTACTGCAAACCTTTCACATCCCAGTGTTGCACATCCTTAAGCCAGGCAGTCCATGCTACTGCGGCTTCCACCTGGGCTGTCGTCTCAACCTGAGATTACTGAATGGAGTAATGGAAAAGAAAATAGAAACTGCTATATGTGGTTGAGGGTTTAGGGGTTTCAGTTTTGCAGCTCAGGGTTGAGGCTAAACCGTCAACCCTGAAACAAAGGAGGAGCCCCAGTCATGAGTGGTCACCCTGAGAGACGGCTGCGTAAGTTCCTCGCTGGGGCTGCTATTCACCAAGACTCAATTGCTCGGCATTTGCTTCAGCCTGCTTCTGTCCACATGTGACCCTGATGAAGTCTGCCAGGGACCCACAGCAAACCTGTCATGATCGTCCGTAGATCTAAGGCAGAGGCAGCTGTTTCAGTACATGGCTCACATCATCAAGGCAGGCCGCTCCGTCGACTATAAAGCACCCTCCTCGCCCTCTGAAATTATGTGTGTCCTGCAAGATAATCAATTTTATAGATTGGACGGCGCATTTCTTCATCTTGGGCGGTGGGTGCTGAGGGCGGTATTTGATTTAAAGGAGAAGGGCTTGGAGTGTTCGGTGAGGGGGAGACTGGTAATGCAGGATCCGGTCGGGTGGCTAGCTCATGCAGGTTAGGGGTGTTGTCTTTTGTATTTTCTTATATGGGGCTATGTGGGATTTGAATCCGGGTGTATCATTAGGGGCTACATGAAGGCATATAGATAACAGGTAAAGAGCCTGCCAACCTCAATCTTGAGCACTCAAATTGAACTGCCGTCCCCTCTGTAGTGCTAGAGTGGACCACTGGCTGAAGATATTTTGTGCACGTATGCAAGTCTGCCATGATCGCGGCGTTTCTTCCGTGCTTTGTGGGATGCTGTCAGCCACTACTTTGTCAGGTTGGGGGGATTCTTCAGCCGCCTGACACTGAAATCTGTAGCAGCTGAGACCCCTTGGTATTGGTAGGCACAGGTACAAACTCTAGGGTTTACGGTTGAGGTTTTAATGCCATAAGTCGTCACCATAGCCCTTCCCTAGCTGCTGAGCTCGAGGCTCAGAAAGGCAATAACGTTCAGATCTTCGCCGGCACCGGCTCTGCGCTAGAGGCTGGCGTAATCCATCGAAGGAGTGATGGAGCAAGGCTTAGGTTGGGTGATGATGAGAAGGATTGCTGGATAGTTCTGTGCGCGCTTATACAGCAGTTCAAAGACATGATAAAGGCACTAACAGAGGGATCCAATGCACACAGGTGTGCGTACATATTGTGCATACAGACGTTCAATGTGCATATGGGCATACTCAGGTTCAACATGCATGCATAGGCAATCTTGCGCATGACATCATGCCGATATGGCGCTAACCTCGTCGGCGTGACTGTGATGGGATTCGGGCAGGTATTCAGGTTGAGGATCGCTTTCTGTTGCCGCTGTGGTCATTATGCTAGGCCTTGCGCTGCAAATGCTGCTAATGTTCCCCTGGATCCTCTTGTGGCTATGGCTGCCTGCGCCATAATATACCATACCCTATTATGATGTAGTAATCTCTATTTTCTTTTCCATTATCCTCATATTAACCCTATATCTCCCCTATAGACCCTAAACCCTATATAAGCCCGTTATAGTAGTTGCCATGTTCTTTTCCATTAACCCTACATCACCCTATATTATCCCTACTAAGCCTTGTTTAGCTTCCGCCATGATGCAGGCTGCTGAGATCAAGGAGCTTGCTGGAGAGGCTCAGCCCATTTTGCACGTGGGTAATGGAAAAGAAAATGGAAGCTACTATAGTATAATGGGGTAATATAGGGATGGAAAGAAAATGGAAGCTACTATAGTATATTGGGGTAATATAGGGATGGAAAGAGAATGGAAACTATTAGAATGGGGTTATAGAATGCAACTACTCTGGCTTTATGGTGAAGTGTCTGGCCTTA